GAGACATTTATTGAAGAAGACACCAGAAACATTATACACAGGACAATGGCACCTCAGTCCCCTTCAAAGCAGGCGCCTTGGGACCTCACACAGCTCTCCCAGCGTCTCTTAACCTAGCCTGTACACGTTCAGTGTCCTCAGGTATTCTGCCCGTTGCAGGCCTTCCAGATCGTGGATCCCTTTTAACAGATTCTCGACCATCTGTGAAGCGTTCGTGACACACTTTTATTTGTTTTGCACTCATTGCATCGTTCCCGGAAGCCTCATGGATCATCCGAATGGTTTCCGAGGAGGAATGTTCAAGCTTGACGCAAAATCTGCTGCAGACTCAGTTGCTCTGCTTGCTCAGTCATTTTGAATGTGAGGGCCACACGGTACACAGGCTCACTCCGTGGTGTCTAGACCCCCACTGACTAGGACAGTGAGGGTGCCGTTGTTCACGCGTGTGCATCCCAGACCACTCTCTGTAGCTGCCGGTATACATCCATGTCGCGCATTCTCGTCATATTAACAAAGTCTGGGTACTTTCCGGACAGACCTTGTCTATTCTTTGCCTATCTTCCTAGCCGTTTATAGGGTGTTTTCTTTCTGGTTTTTTAAAAACTATTTATATATTAAGGAAATTAGGCCTTTGTTTTCATAGATGTTACAAATGTATTTGTACTGTTTGTCAGTTTTCTTTCAATTTTATTGATAATTTTTCTCTACAGAAATTAACTGCGTTGTTTCAAATGTTTCCCTCTTTCTGAATTTAATGTCTTACAGAGAGCCATTTTCACATTTAACAGAATAACCTTTTTTCGTGTCTTCTCCTAGGCTTTCAGAGTTGTGTTTTTTTATGTTTAAATATTCAAGCCATGTGAAGTTAATTTGCATATAGAGAGACTGAAATACCATATAATTTTTTCCAGAGACTGTGGTAATTAGCCGTATGATAAAGAGCATTTCAGACATGTGGGCTAAAGACGGCTTATTAAACAAATGCTGTTGACATAATTGCTCATATTTGGGTGCAAAATAATAAAGCTGATCCACACTTGGTGCTTTCAAAGAACGGCAGAAGGCCAGGATAGCTTGGTGAGGAGAGGCAGTGTTGTCAGAAAGACAGGTGGCAGCCTGGGAGGGCTTTGTAAGTCAGGGTTAGAGATTTGATCGTAGTCGAATAGCCATTCCTTTGCATGTTTGTTCGACATGTTTCTCTTATATGTAGCAGATATTTTGGATTTGAATTTTTTATCCATCTGAGCATTTAAAATTTTTTATTATTGACGTAACACACACATTTAGCATTACTCCCCTCATCACATTTTATGTTAGTTTTCACCTTTTGATGTTTCCTTGGTTTCCATCTTTTGCTAAAACCCCCATCATACTTTGTTTCCCCGAGGACTTGTAAATACTCACTGCCTTCTGGTATCTCGTACTGCTAGAGAGAAATAGGACACCGGCGTGATTTTTTTTCCCCTTGTAAGTTAATTGCTTTTTTTGCCTAAATATACTGAAGAATTGATCTTGCAAAATTTTAAAACTCTAAATTTCTATGGCAGGATATACATGGATGTTGGTTTTTCTGTATCTGTTGCTTGTTTTGTTTCCTAGGACAAAGGATGCCCTCTTTATTGGCTGATTAAGGTTTTAGACTATTTCAGAACTTTTTCTTCTGATATATCTTTGAACATTTTTTTACTATTCTCTGTGTTCTTTTTTTTTTTTTTTTAACCAAATCTCTTTTTTGTAATTTTCAAATTATCTTTAAAGGCCTCTAACTGTATCAGTTTCTGTTGAAATCATCATTACCATTGGCCCTGGGCCGAGCACTGATTTATCGAGCCTTCCCTCCCGATCACTGCATGTGGTTTCAGCAGTGTCGACTCTGGTTTTTAGTTCCCTTTATGGGACTTTGATCTGTAACATTCACCTTTTCCTGTTTGTCTCCTTCTTTGACATCTTACCCATCTTATTTTAGCCTTCATTTCAAAGAAACACATTTTCATTAGCTCTTCCAGGCTCACAAAGAATGTTCAAAATTTTCTTCTGCCTTGTGGCTGCCTAGTTCTTCTACAAAGGTTATCTCATGTGCATTTGTCTTGTTTTTTTTTATTTTTCCATATACTTTTTAATTTTTCCTGGGGAGAGGAGCTTCAAAGTTGCCTCAGAATACTTTCTTATCAAATTTTCTTGTCTCTTCGCTGGCTTCCTATGATTATTTGCAATAACGGGCACCTCCCTTGCTGCCGTTTCTCACCCTTGGAAGAGGAGGCTTGCATGCCTCTCAGGGAATTGCTGTGTGTGTGGGTTGGCTGCTGGATGGTTTTGCATTTTTTTTTTTCTTTTCAGTTCACCTTGTTCAGTGTCTGACAGGTCGGTTGCCATTTATGCTTCCTTCTGGATCCAGCCGTTCTCCCTCTTTGACTAGTGAAAAAAGGGGAGTGGGGGTATGTGCATTTATTGCCCTTCCACTTCAGTTTGCCTGCTGCATTGAATCCATGCAGGGACCTCTGCCATTGCTTGCCCCTACCTCTCTATTTTATCCTCTGAGTAAGAGGTGGTTCAGCTATTTCTTGAGTTGTTTCGCCTATTTCTTGGGAATATTTTTCAGCTCTGTTTGAATGTGTAGGTTTTGTCAGCTGTCGGCACACTGTCTTGATTCGATCCATTGTCATCGTGTGTATCGGTGTCTATCCTGTGTTATTTGTAGTTGTAATTGAGGACGTTCATAGTTTTCATTAGAAATGCTTGTTTCTTTTCTATTTTCAATTACTTTTGCTATTTTTAGGTGATGTTAGGGAGGGCAGGGTAGTAGAAACGTCACTACCACCTTCAACAGACAATAGATTAACTGGGTCACAGTTAATTAAGTGTTGGCTAGATACCGATCAGTGTTTGCTCGCTCGTGTGAATAGAACTCAAGAGTTATAATCTTGGGGAAATTAAGTTTAAGCCCTTGAAACAGTTTGCAGATTTGTTGGAATCATATGTGCATCCAGGCCCCCCCGTTGCACTGAAAGTGAGGTTGAAATATCGAATGCCAGGACCTCCAGTGATAGGGGGTGAGGGGGATTGAAGTTGTGGTTTTGGGGATGGCTGATATTTGAATAGGTGTTGTAAGAATTTTCCAAACACGAAACGCAGAATGAACCTCTGGTTCTCAGTTCTCCACCAATATTGCTTCACTGAGAATAGCCAGACCTCCTGGGAGGAGAGCTGAAATCGGGTGGATAGGAGAGAAGGTGCCAACTCCCGCGGGGAGTGTGGTTACAGCGGCTGGGGTTGGGGGAGCGGAGAGATGGTGTCGAAGGATACAGAGTCTCAGACAGAAGGAATACGTTGTGGGGGTTTTCGTTACCACACAGCTTGGTGAATATAATTAATAGTGTGTTGTCCATTTTAAAATTGCTAAGAGTTATGATATCAGAAATGTCCATTAAAAAAGAGAAAGAATAAAAAAAAATTGCCATGAGAGTAAATTTCAAATGTTCTCACCACAAAAAAATAGCATTTGAGGCGATAGATATGTTGGTTAGTTTGATCTTTATTCTGTACCATAGTCATAAATCTTAACATGACTTTGTACCCCATAAATAATGCCCATTAATAAATTGTCAATTTACAATAAAGTAAGAAGTTTTTTAAAAGAAGAAGAAAATGTAAAGAGTGAATAGGAGCATTGGAAGGATTTTTGAAAGCCTGCAAGCTTATCTTGGTTTTAGGCGGGAGCCCTAGTAGATTTTTAAACTGGAGCATGACGCGATGAAATCCGTATTCAAGGAAAACTTTATCTAGCAATCGAATCGCGGCGTTTAATTTGATCCCACTGAGACTTGGCGAGTCCCTGCTCGTCCCCGGCATCATGCATAGCGCAGCATAGGGGGCAATCCCTGTCTCAAGAAACTGCGTCTGGTAAAGTCAAGAAGCTGATTTTGAAAAATCTGAGCCAGTAGAATTTCAGAACCGGAGCCAGTCTCAGCTCAGGTTATCTTGGCGCAGCTGTGCTGTGTTGCCAGTGAGGTCTTAACCACAGTAACGGGGTTAGTGTGTCACGATCTTATTCTGCTCATGTAGATTCTGGGATTTGTGTGATCCTTTAAAGTCTGCCCGAATCACTGGAATCTTGCTGTTGCGTATAAGTTTAGCTGAATTTTAAGCAGCAACATTTCGTATTCCGTATTTTCTATCTGCTGCCTTCTAAGTCAGGTCTCCGTCCTCCTGATTGCTTTCCCCTCTTCAATTCCCATCCTACTGCCTCTGTGTCGTCTTCCCATCACACTTGGGCCATCTTTCCTTCTCTGATACTGTATTATCCCCTTGTCACATGGCACTAGTTCTATCCTGGCACTTTGCTCTGGGGTTGTCTTTATGTCAGTCTTGCCTAGTCAATTAGAATTATAGGCTACTTGAAGGCATAAATAACAGTCCCTATTTTATTTATCTATACATCCCACGGGACTCCAAAAGACGATTTGAGCACGCTCCTTTCACGTGACGGTGTTTTGGCCTCTGCCGAGGTGACGAGTGGACATCCAGTTAAGGAGGGTCAATACTGTACGAACTGAGGACTCGCGTGACCAACAGAGGAGTTTTCTGTTTTTTTTTTACTTACGATTTTTATCTATTTGAAAGTCCTACAAAGAAAAATCATGTTTATCAAATCGGCTTTATAGGAAAAAAGAACGTGAAGTTGAGACCCTTCCAGTCGATGAGAAAGTGTCGACGCAAAGCCGATTAGATAGAAATTACATATAAATTGTTCTTCGGTAAACATGTATGTACATATTACCTCTGAAAATAGATGTGTATGAAGTATAAGTTTTCCTTGAAATATTGATATTTGTGATTTGGGGAATTTATTCCTGTATTTTCTGCAACTGCTGCAGCCCTGGGGTCATTACTCCCAGCAGCTGGTCCAGCAGCTGGTCCACATTCCCCGCTACTTGTTCAGTGAATGGAACCATTTAGGTCAATATTGATATAAAACTTCATGAACTTTTCTTCTCTTTCAGCTCTGGTTCGCCTTTGTTAATGGATTTTCTGGGCAGATTTTATTTGAACGCTGGTGCATCGGCCTGTACAATGTGGTAAGCATTCTTCCTCTCCATCTGATAGCACGCGGGGCTTCAGTGGCATTCCTTCCCTGTTTATGTCTGGGAAGTGTATCTAAGTCAATCATCTGTATACTTAGCAGGCAGCACAAATACATCTCTGGGCCCTTTCTTGCTGCCACACATCCTGCAGAAGCCCAAGCTCTCCACACATGGTTTCAATCATAGCAGATCATTCTTGAATAACCCCATGAAATTATTAAGCCATATATCTTGATAATGGGCCCCGGCTACCCTCTTGCTGAATGCCTACACAACATTTTCATGTTTTCAGCTCAAGTAAAAATTTCTGAACTACGTCTAAACTCATTCCATTGCGTTATTTTGGTTCTGAAGGCTTAAAAACCTAGATATGAATATGCAGCATGTGATCCTTTTTGTCCTTCTGGAAAGCGTATCTGTCCTTGTGGAAGCATGTTTTCTCCCACAGTTAGAGCTAACACGGTGAATTCTGACTTCCAGCCACTGTGGAGGATGGTAATCAGCTCATCTGGTATCTTTCATGGTTTTCATGTCCTTTTTTTTAATTACTTGGCTGTAACGAATCCAAAAGCTAGAAGTCAGTGTAAACTATAAGCCAAAATGATGCAGTAGCTGCTTAGCTTTCTTGCTTTTTGTTTCACGGGAGGAACGAAGGGGCTTGTTGTAGCTAAGTGCTCTGGAGACCCCAGAACGGCCCATTTGTGCAGTCACGTTCTCCCAGTTGCGCTGCACCCCAACTCTGGCGTCCTCCGCTCCGCGGGAGTTTACGCCGCAAGGCAGCCAGCACAGACAGGCGGAGGTGGAAGTTACGAGACATACAGTAGTATAACCCGCGGTGGTATAAATGTTTGCGGTGTGTACACCCACTGTGGCCGGATATCTAAGTATCCATGCATTTTCGACCCTCTTCTCTGGGCCGCTGCGATGCTGGGTGCTGGGTATATAAATGCCGAATACAATAGCATGCCTGGCCCTGTGTAGCTTACGGGTTAAGAGGGGCAGATGTGTGGACTCAGACTGGAGTGCCCAGGCTGGAGTCAGATCTTGAGTTTACATTGCGTGGGGTGAGTTAGTAGCTATTACCTGCAGCAAAGTGCACCAGCACATTCCCTGCAGATACTGATGGCCCAAAAGACGAAGGTGACTAGTAGTGAGAACGGGGCTTAATCGGATGTCCATTCCTTGCCTGTGCTAGGAAAGCTGCCCTGACTGCCTACGCTGTGGATAGGGGCTCTAGGGCCTCCCCTTTTGCATACTAAGGGGAGACCAGAGAATGCCAACTTTGCAGGATTTGCAACTATTCTGAGAAGGCTAAAGTTATGCAGCCCTTTGGGGAAATGTGCGGACTGCTCCATAATTATTCAGCGTTTGGAAGGGTCAGGTGTCGCAGAGTTGACACCTCACACAAACCTCTGCCACGTACCTGTTTTATAGGATACTGAGAGGCAGGAGGCTCTGCTGCAGAACCAAGGGCAGGACTGGCATGCATGTCACCTGCGTGTAGGATGAGTGGATTTGAGTCCTACTTTCATGCTCAGGACAGGAGGGCTGGATTCTTGCCTTAGCTCCATGCAGCCTTGGGCAATTCAAATTAATCCAACATATTTTATTGAGTGCTTACTACACACAAGATGCTGACAGGCTAGAGGGCAGCATTGATCAAAATAAGGCCCACAGATAACCAGGATTTGTTTGAAATAATGCAGATTCCTGAGCCCCTCACCTCAACCTAGCAAAGGGTGTCTCAGAGACGCTGAATTTTAAACAAACTTTTCTAGTTATTGTTATGCACATTAAAGTTTGAGACCACAGTGACCTTTGATCCCTAGGGCTGGGAATATGTGATTTTTTGATTTTGTGGCAGAGATGTATATTTCAGGGGGCAAACGGCCCAAGTTACCGGAGTGCACAGTGCACCTACTGAAGGGGGCTGCCAGGGGGCGCTGGCAGGTGGCACGGTCCAGTTGGGTACATCAAGGAGCCATGAGGTGTGCTCACAAGGGACACTGGCATCCGTCGTCACTCAGGCTGGAGGGACCAGACCTTTGCAGAACATGGAGGTTTGCCTCCACCGAAATTGTTTTGGTAACTTTGTATGAAATAAATTGAAGTTTAGACAGAAAAGTTGAAAAAAAGAGTACAAAGAACTTCTGTTTACCCTTCACCCAGATTCATCAAGTATTAGCATTTTTCCCCCATTTGCATTCTCTCTGTGCATACGTGTGCACATGCACACACACGCCTACACACGTGCATACACACTGAAGTGGGCATGTGCTACAGACCTGCTGCCCCTTTGCTACTTAATACTTTAGTGGATAATTGCAAGCCCTTCCTCTAACCTAACCACAGTATAATGATCACATCAGAAAACTTTTAACACGGATGCAGTAATATCATGTAATCCATATTAGTCATATTCCAGTTTTGCTGTTATTATTCTAGTAATGTTGTATTTAACAATTTTTCCCAGGCCAGTATCACTCCAGAGACACCCCTCCCCCCCACAAGAGACAGTGTGTAACAAGTAAGGCATTTGCTAGTGACCCCCTCTGCCAGTCTGGACTCTGCCTTGCCATTTTCTTCAAGCAGTATTTCTCTCCTGCTTTTCTTCCTTCTGCATTTTTTATTTATGTTTGATTTCCCCAAGCCTGCTAAAGTAGCAAATCACTCTTTCTCAGTTTAATTCTCATAGCAGGTTAAACAGCATTAAAATAGGATTGATAGGAACACTCACACACTGCTAGTGGGACTTTCAACCTCTATGGAAAGAGATATGGAGATACCTCAAAGAGCTATGAGTAGAACTACCATTTGATCCAGCAATCCCATTGCTGGGCATCTACCCAAGGGAAAAAAAGACATCGGCACTCAAATGTTTATAGCAGCACAGTCACAATTGCAAAGATGTGGAAACAACTCAAGTCCCCATCAATACATGAATGGATTAAAATAAAATGTGGTAAATGTATACCATGGAGTACTACTCAGCCACAAAAAACAATGGTGATAGAGCTGGAACCCATTCTACTAAATGAAGTATCACAAGAATGGAAAAACAAGCACCACATGTGCCCACCATCAAATTGGCATTAATTGATCGACACTTGTGCGCATATGGTAGTAACATTCACTGGGTGTCGGGCAGGTGGATATATTCACACCTAATGGGTGTGGTGCACCATGTCTGGGGGATGGACCTACTTGTAGCTCTGACTTGGGCAGGGCAAAGGCAATATATGTAACCTGACCATTTGTACCCACATAATATTCTGAAATTTTAAAAAATGAGATTGAAACTCCTTCATTCCCCTAAATAGTGAATGAATGCTGTCCCATTATGTTCTCATTATATCCATAGTCAAATTTGTTTACCATTTTACTTTGTGGGTAGAATGAGATTAGAAGTCCACCAGGGATGAATGCTACCAGGATCAGATGAGTTTTAGCTAAATTTTGTATGTTTCTTAGTGTAGAGAGAACTCTGACATTATTAAACCTGTTCCAGAAAACTAATCCTATTTTCAAGCCAGCAGAATTTGAAGAAGAAAACCATGGGTCAACCTCACTTATAAACATAAGTACAAAAATCCTAAATGAGATATCAGCAAATGAGTGCAACAGTATATTAAAAGAATGAAGTGTTTGACCAAGTATGATTTATTTCAGACATACAGGAGGTTTGAAATAAAAAAAAAACTTTCTAAATATTACTGTATCAACAAAATAAAGAAGAAAAACATGCCCCATCAGCAGATGCTACAAAAGTTTTGAAGCAATTCGGCTGCCATTCCCTAAATAAGAACTCTAAAACATGACTAGGGAGAAGCCAATCAGCCACAATGCACACTATTTACAAAACCCAGCATGTTGCCATAAATGGTAAAATTCAAAAACTGTATCATTTTAAATAAGAAATTAGTCAAGATGCCTACCATCACTATATAATTCAGCATTGTTTGGGGATTTTTAGCAGCAACCAGACCAAGAAGATTGAATAACTGTTACAAATATTAGGAAAATGATGAACAATTTCTGTGCATCAGGGCCAGGTATGATGGCTCACACCTGTAATCCTAGCATTTTGGGAAGCTGAGGCAGGAGGATCATTTGATCCCAGGAGTGGAGGTTGCAGTGAGCTATGATGACGCCACTGCATTCTAGCCTAGGTGACAGAGCGAGACCTTGTCTCCAAAAAAGATCACTTTTTTCTATCCTAAGAATCAATAGCTTTTTTAAAACTCTAGTAATGGACCACCTATTAATGGAAATGCATTGTCGATAATAATTCCTTTCAAAATAGCAATTAAAATTATACATTGCACAGAAATAATTTTTATTTTACCTGTATGAAAAAAATAAATTCTTATCAAAATATACAAAATAAGATTTTAACAAATAGAAAGGAATACTATTTAATATTTTATTGTATGAGAAAGCAATACTATAAAAGACTCAGGTGGGGCAAAGGCAATGTATGTAACCTAAACATTTGTACCCCTGTAAGATTCTGAAATTTTTAAAAAAGTAAAAAACAAAAAAGAATCAACTCCTCTAAAATTAATGTATAAATTAATATGATTCCAAATAGAATCCATCCCAACAGGGAATTGTTGGGGGCAGGAAGAGGGATAAAATTTTATTAAAGTGTGAATGGAATTAATGAGTACTTGAGAATAAATATGCAGAGCATGTTCAGAAAAGACCATAGGGTATAGACAGGTCTTTAATAAATATGACCATACTATAAAGCCATCATAACCAGTCAATGCCATTGGCATAGAACTAACTAAATAAGTTAGTCTATAACTAGATCCCATTTCTAGATTCTAGATCTATAGTATATGAGAATTTGATAAGCATTAAAGGTGATCTTTCAATTTAATGAGAAAAGCATGGATTAATTAATTGTGTTCTCACAGCAGGCTTTTTATTTGGAAAAAAATGGATTCCTATCTCATACCATTTAGAAAAATTAATTCCAGATATAGTAAAGACTTAAATGTAGAAAATAAAACTGTAAGAATCGTAGAAGACACTTCTGAAAACATGTGAGTTTCAAGGAAGGGAGACTTCTGTAGCTGCAATTGGACACTCAGAAGCTATTCTTGACCATTTAAACATTAAAAGCTTTTAGCCAGCTGCAGTGGCTTGTGTCTGTGGTCCCAGCTACTTGGGAGGCTGAGAGGGGAGGATTACTTGAGCCCAGGAGTTTGAGACCAGCCCGAGCAATGTAGAAAGACCCCATCTCAAAAAAACAAATTAATTAAAATAAACATTAAAAGCTTTTCTATAGTAAAATAAACCATTTAAAAAGCCAATAAACAAAGAGTGCATTTGGGCAAAATTTTATAGCAGAGTTGGTATTTGTTATGCTCAAAGAACTCCTCAGAAAGGGGATAAACCGTAGGTATAAAATGGACCGAAGACCTGACTGGACGTTTCTCAGAACTGCAGATCCAAATGGCTCTGTGCGCATATACATACATATATTTCAAGTATATGAAAACTTGCTGAAACTTTCTGGTAGTCGGGAAATGTAATTTTTAAAAACGAGAATTAGTATCTTTTTCAGACTGTAGAATATTCAAAGACCACTATAACAACCATTGCTGGTAGGGACACAGGGAAGAGTTCAGTGTGACCTTTCACAAGGGGGAAGAGGAAAATGATTGAAACCTTTTTTTTGAAAGCGACCAGAGGCAGCATCTAGTAAAATAAAAAATACAGCCAGCCTCCTGCTGGGCCTCCTTCCCATGGAAATAAAAAGTACATATGTTATGATATTTTGTAGGTGTTTGGTACATAATGCTTGTGGCAGCAAAGAGCTGGAAGTGCAATGAATGCCCGTCAGTGGGTAAAGGGCTAACAAGTGATGGTGGGTCCATCCTGTGAATTGTTATGTGAGCATTAAGAAGACCACATTAGCGTCAAACCCACGGGACTCGGAGGGCTTTCTGTGATGTATGTTTAGCAAGAGAAGTATGACGAAGAAAAATGTGTATAATGTCCGCTTTTTGTAAAACAAATCACGATCCCTGCCGTGTGTGTGCACACTCGCGCACGCACTTACACGGTGTGCTGAAGGCAGTGTGGGAAACACCCAGTGGAGCTTGCACAGAGCTTCATCATAACCCAGAGATGAAGGACGGGGGAGGCTGTGAGGTGGGGAGGAGTAGAAAGTCAAGTAAAAGAATAGAAAAAGAGCAGCATGCCCAGGATGCGTGACGTCACACGTATGCATAACCGTGTGCGTGATGCCACGTTTGCGTTGACGCAGAGCAACGGAGGTGAGGGTGAGGGCCAAGGAAGCATGATGTGGCGTTTCTGAGACGCTCGGTAGGAGCTCCTTCTTTTCGTCATAAAACGGACGCCTTTTGCTGTTGTGAGGGAAGTCGGACAGCTCCACGTGACTCCTCCCTGCAGTGTTTGCGGCACGTTGCGACCCCGGGGCAGCTTCCGTCCTGCCGGGGGCTGGAGCATCCGCTGGCCTCACCCGCCACACCCCTGATGGCTTGGTCCCGGCAGACTCGGGGAAGGCTTTCTCTGGCCACGTACTCAGTCCGCAGAGACCTGGCGTGGGCTCAGAATTCTCCTGGAGACCCACATCGTCTTTCCACGGTCTGCGGGGATGGATTCTGCAGATGCTGACGCTGAGCAGCGAGTGACCCAGACTGTGAACCGTGCCCGGAACCGAGCAAAGAATGACCCTCGGGCCAAAGCATGTCCCGGGTCGAAATGACGTGTTTCTTCCAAACCCCTTCCTCAGCACCTGGCTTTAGCCTTCCAGCACGCAAATGTGAGCGTGCCACACACCTAGAGAGCACAGCTAAAAGTCAGAGTCTTGGAAGGCACCGTCGCCCCAGGACGTCATCGTCATGGGGGGGGGGGTGGTTTGGTCCCTGCCCATCCTTGCCTCACACCACAGCCTCAGCCAGCCACAGTCTACCACCCCTGTGTGTCTTAGAAGATCCCTCTGTCAAAAGGCAAAATTAAAACCATCTAAAGATATGCTTGGCTTCTGTTAGCGATTCTAGAATCAGGGAACCTCTCGTGCTGGTAAAATGGGTACAGTGAGTGCTCCGAGGACCAGAGGAGGTCGGCTTTATAGGAAGGAAAGGGCTGAAGGGGCGCGGTGGCTCACACCTGCAATCCCAGCACTTTGGGAGTCCACGGCAGGAGGACCGCTTGAGGCCAGGAGTTTGACACCAGCCTGGGCAGCATGGCGAGACCCCCGTCTCTACAAAAACACAGAAAAATTTGTAGCGTGAGAACAGAAGGGATTCCCTTTTCATGCTGCCTCAAGTAACTGGGCCCTTTCAGATCAGCTGCTGTGAATCTCCCGTTCTTTGAGAAAACTGGTCTAGTTCAGAGTTCAGTCTGATGAAGCTTCTGGTAGCACAGGTGACTCTGTTCTGGTTCGCTCTGGTCTGCTGGGGCCGAATGCAAGGCCGTAAATGCAGGAGCTAAGTCCACTAAGGCCTCCATAAGCTTTGCTCATCACCTCTACTGTGCTCGCTGATGCCTCGGAGCTGTGTAGGGGTGCTCCTCTCACAGGAATGCTTCCTGGGCACCCTCACCCACACCCCGTCATCCTGCAAACCCCCACGATCCAACACCTCGCGGGTCAGATACCTTTGGTGCAGGATTCCTTTGTGACTCTGCCTTCTCCTCCATCCTCTCCCCGTGGTATTTTGCAGAGCCCTGTGTTTGCATATTATTCTTTACACCTGTCCCCCGCCCCCTCCGCAGTGGATGGAGTTCCTGCAGGTCAGGGACCCACTTCCTCTCCTCCTCTTCCGTGTGCAATCTCTCCACTCCTGTGCTCATCGCAGCATGCAGCTGGTAGTTCACCGCGCAGCGAGCTCCACTGCAGGGATGACTGGGTGGAGTACATTACGCTTCCTGAAATTCGAGTACAAAACCAGGGCGGACGTTGTAGAATTGAGCCTCAGCCGGTGTGAACAGAAAACAAATGCTTTGCAAAGCTAAGCGTGGCGAGATTCTACGTCACTCGCGCCCCTTTTACTAAGGAAAGTAGTCGCTAATGTAACAAAATGTCTTGGCGAACGCAACTTTACGGTGGTGTTTAGTGCTCAGTGCATTCATTTTACTCTGATGAGCATAGACGTGGTCTTCCGTTTTTTTCTTCGTTTGGAGGGAGCCTGGGAGCTGTGAATCATTGAGTCTCAGGCTCAGGCTTGACTTAAAATGAAATCATCTCCCGGTGGCAGGGAAGTGCTAAAGCTGCCACTCCTCGGGGCTGTCTTTGACGGCTCTTTTTCCCTGCAGATTTTCACCGCTTTGCCGCCCTTCACTCTGGGAATCTTCGAGAGGTCTTGCACTCAGGAGAGCATGCTCAGGTTTCCACAGCTCTACAAGATCACCCAGAACGCCGAAGGCTTCAACACAAAGGTAAACGGGATGCGATCACGGAATTGTCACCTCAAAAAGGCTCGGCCCCGCCTTTTGCCGTTCCACGCCAGGCATCTGCCTGTGCGATAGCTCAAGCTTGAGAAACACCAGTAGTAACCCTCACTCTCCACCCCCCAACACGCACACGCACACGCGCACACGCACACACACACACACGCACACAACACACACGCACACACGCACACACACACACACAGCCCAGTGCATTAGGTGGCTTCTGGAGTGACCTGTCCTCGTGCATGGGGTGCATCTTTCAGTCCAGTTTGCTGAGTCCTTCCTGCTCCTCCCTAAGCTCTTGGTGTCAGCCGCGGCAGCAGCACCCAGGGCCCAGGGCCCCAGCCTCAGCCGCGCAGAGACCCCTGTCGCCCTCCTCCGCCCTGCTGTGGAGGCCGCTGGAGCTCGCCCGCCGGCTGCTGCTGAGTTTCCGTCTGCCTGGATACGACACAAAAGTTAAGTGAGTCATGGGTTCTTGGGGTTTTTCTGCAGACCACAGGCTCAGAAAGGACACAGAAGGGGTGTGGGTAATCCTGAGAAGCCCAAGCAGAAGCGGGGTTGGGTGTTAAAGAGATTGCACAGTCCGGACTGGCCAAGGGGTCTGTCCGTGCCGGATCGACGTGGTGTAGCGTTTTTAGTGCTGGACAAGAGGAAAGCTTCGTAAATGAAGCAGCACAGGACAGCTGGCGCGTTGCGGCGGACGGCTCTTAAGGGGGATAGATGTCAGGCCCGGCCGGCAGTGTTGAGCATTGGCACCTTCTTAATCTCCCAAACCTTACTCATGAGTATTGCGCTTTTGGTTGACACGTGGCCGTTTTGTGTCTCAGGTTTATTGTGCAGCGGGTTCGGATAGTGTTTTAGCGCTAGGGCGGCTGCTTTCCCCGCTCGCTGTTC